TCCAGAACTCTCTGAAGGGTTGGTTTTGTGGACATGAATTCCTTCAGCCTACTTATGTCATGGAAGATTTTTCTTTCCCCGTTGTCTATAGTAGACATTTTGGCTGGGTATAGTAATCTGGGTTGGCATCTGTAGTCATTTAAAACTGGGAATGCTTTGGATCAGGCTCTTCTGGCTTTCATAGTTTGCACTAAAAGTCAGCTGTAATCCTGATGGGTTTTCCTTTATAAGTGACATGTTGTTTCTCTTTTGCAGCTTTCAGAATTTTCTCTTTGTTCTGTACACTTAGTGTTTTTACTATGATGTGCCATGGAGAGTTTCTTTTCTGGTCCTGTCTGTTTGGTGTTCTATATGCTTCTTGTAATTGTATGGGCATGTCTTTAATTTTGGGAAATTTTCTTCCACGATTCTGCTAAAGATCTGGTCCATGCCATTATCTTGGGATTCTTCTCCTTCCTGTATGCCTATGATTCATAGGTTTGGTCTTTTTGTGGTGTCACACAATTCCTGCATATTCCATTCTTGTGTTTTCTTCAATTTTTCATAATCTTTGCTTCAGTGGTCTAGTTCGTCCACTTTATCTTCCAGCCTTCATACTCTGTTTTCCATTTCATTCATCCTATTGGTAAGGCTTTCTCCTGTCATTTCTAATTAGCTTACTGAGTGTTTCAATGTCCTTCATTTCAGCCTGAGTATTCTTCAATATTTCTAACACTTTTCTGAATTCATTCAGAAATTTATCCCCATTTTCCTTCAGTTCTTTGATTTCTTTGTTTGTGTGTTCTTTAAATTCACTGAATTCTTTTATCATGTTTGTAACTGTTCTTTTGAGTTCCATGTCCTGCATTATCTCTATGGGGTTCTCATTGTACTCCTCTAGAGGACTATTGGTATTTGGTGGGGATATGTTATTTTGGTTTTTCATGTTTTTTTTTTTTCTCTGTGATTTTGACATGTGAATTTCTTTTGTAGTTTATGATTCTTGTGTGACACTCAAGCCTTCACGTTTATGTCTGCTTCTCTTTGTGAACTTTATGCGCCTTTGTGGTTTACTTTTTGGGCATGAAAAGCGTGTTCATCTAAGCTTCCAGTTCTCTCTTTTGATTTTATATTGGAGTGGCCAGATTGCTTTTGTCTTAGGAATTCCCACAGAGGCACAAGTCAAATGAGGATCAGATGCTCTCAGGCTTTCTCCTAAGGTCTGGATCCCTCCAGGAAAGATTCTGGCCTCAGGAATTTGGGGGCTGGACTAGCCCTGGAACCGGTCAAAGGAAAGATGCTGGTCTCAGGCAGCTGGTGGCCATGCTACCCAGAGATGCAAAGGAAGATGGGGGTGGGACGAGGCCCCAAGGGCTCCTGGGGACTGCACTGAGGAGCTGGGTTGGTCTGGCTGCAAAGGACCAGGAAAAGGAAAGGTCAGCCCCATGTCCAGGAAAGATGCTGGTGGGTCATACAGACCCAGGGAAGCAGAGGGAGGAGAGAGTGGGGCCAGGCCCAGAGCGCCCCTGGGGACCCGAGAAGCAACTGAGTTGGTCTGGATACAAAGGATCATGAAGTAGTAGTGGTTCCCCAGGTGTCTGGGGCACCAAGACAAGGAATGGGACAGGACCCAGGCTAGGAGGAGAGACTGGTGGGGGGGAGATGGGAAAGTGAATGAGGCTGGAGGAGTCAAGGTGTGGAGGGTGCAACTGACTTACCCCAGAGAGAGAGGCTTGTGGGTTGGAGAGAAGCCTGTGGGTCGTGTAGGCCCAGGGAAGCAGAGGGGAGGGCAGGGCCAGGCCCAGAAGCAGTGCTCCTGGGGACCAGAGAAGGAACTGAGTTGCTCTGGGTGCAAAGGATCAGGAAGCAGTGGTGGTTCCTCAAGTGGACTGTAACTTTCTACTGGTCAGAAACATTTATCAACTCAATTCAGTACCACTTATTGTATGAATGACGTTCTCTAAATAATACAATGTGTTATCTGTTCATCAGGGACACAGTTCACTGAGTTTAAACATATTAATGAGTGTGCTTTACATACCTTTTCCTTCACCGGTTTTACGTCTAGTTCATCTACATTTCTTTCCAGTTGGCTTTCTAGTTTTTTAACTTTCTTTTGAAGTTCTTCAATTAAAGTTTGCTTATTATCTATCACAGGTTTGCTCTGAAAAAATTAAGATATGTTTACATTCTACAAATAATTGGAACATACTAAATATAGAAATTTTCTGAGACTATCGTCAATCATGCTTTCTAAAAGACACTCAATATCAGTAGATCATAGAAGCTACTACTGTGTTTTATAGTACGTTCCACTCTAGACAGTAAATACAACAGTGCTCACTAAAAGAACTAGCTAATCAAAAATCAGAAAGATAATTTTAGCAAATATTTTGGTGAAATGAGTGAAAATAACTGCCTATATATTATAGATCACACATAGCATCAGAATTAAATGTAAATTACCTGTAATCCGCTGGATAATCTTTTAATTTGCCTTTTCAGTTCAACATTCTCCTGATCAATTCCATCTTTCTCTCTAAGTATTTTATTATAGGCTTTTTGGTTTTTTTGCAGTTCATTATTTAAATCATTTACACTATCAGTTAGTGAATTTTCTTTGTTTTTACTTGTTTTAAGAGCTTCTTTCAATTTTAAAAGATTTTCATTTAAATCTTCAATTTGTGACTAATAAGAGATAAGTGATATTCATGAATATTCATCAAGTATTAAAGATAAAGCAATGAAAAACTGAAATTATACTATTAATACTTACTAGAAACAAAATTCCAATCTAAATTTTAAGTCTAGCACACAAGGAAAATATATGTTATGTAAGTTACACCTATTTTTTTTAGCTCACATCAAATTAAACAAGTTTACTTTGAGAACAACAATAAAAAGCAACATTCTAAAGCAAATCATCTTCAATAAAAACCCAGAAACAAAATTTTATCAAATACATGTTTCATTATGGCTGAATTAACTAAACAAACCAGTATCTTTCAACATGTACAGCGGTGTTTTAAAGGGTATGACGCATAAAATCAGCATAACAAAATATCAGAATTCAAATATGCTATAAATACAAGACATGAAAGGATAGCTTGAAAGCGTAGACAGTGCACATGAACTTCTAGGATTCTCATCTAGCCTGAACAAGCACAATGATAAATCTATTATTTGGCCTGTAATGGTTTATTCAATTAAATGTATTAAATGTTTTATTGAATCAATTATCATACTGATTATTACTGATATTAATAAAAAAGTATTATTACAGTGTAGTTAGAAAAAAGTCACAATGATCTTGGAAAAGATTTTGAAAATAAGGATTTAAAGGTGAAGAATTTCAAAGAGAAAGATACTAAAAAATATGTCAACAAAAGCCTGTTCCTTTTTATATAGTTATTAACTTTGCAGAATTTTTTTTATTATTACCTGTAACCATAATCGTGAAAAATACAGTAAGAGATTTTTTTTTTGAATTAACAAAAAACTACTTCTCAGGCAGTTTAATGGTATTAAGATATTAAAGAACATTTCTAATAAATCAAAAGTACATAAAATTTATAAAAAATAAAGAGTAGATTTTCCTTTTCACTAAAATATGCCATATGAAATTTTGTGTAAAGAAATTTGTAAAAAAAAAAAAAGAAAATTAGAAATTTGTGTCATGAAATATATGTTTTGGAAAAAAGTAAATCACCAAGCTTAATGGTCAAGTAAGATAAAATATGGTGGTAAAAAAAATTTAGTAAAAGAAAAGGCTTCAGCGTCTGGGAGCTCTATAGATAAAAAATCTTCATAATTATTAATGTATGATTTAAACACTACCTCAAGGGAAAAAAATAACTAAATATTTTACTCTTATTCAGAGTTAATAGGGATTAGGAAATAGTTCATTTGGTAAAGGGCCTGCTTTGTAAGCATGAAGACCTGAGTTTGATTCCCAGAAGCTATGTTTTAAAAAGTCAAGGGGCTGAAGAGATGGCTCAGCAGTTGCTAAGAACGCTTGCTACTCTTCCCAAGGACATAAGTTCGGTACCCAGCACCCATATTGAGCAACTTACAACTGCCTGTAGTTCTAATTCCAGGTGATCCAACATCCTTCCCTGGCCTCTGCAGGTACCCACATACATAAGGCATACATGCACACAGATACACACATACATATAAATAAAAGCAATAAATCTTTGGGGTTAAAGAGATGGCTCAGTGGCTAAGAGCCCTGACTGCTCTTGTAGAAGACCTGGGTTTGAGTCCCAGTACCCACATGGCAGCTAACAACAGTCCATAATCCAGTTCCAGGGGATCCAACACCCTTTTCTGATCTCAATGGGCATTGCACAATATGGGTGTGCTCACATATGTACAGGCAATACACTCATACATATAAAATAAACTTTTAGAAAGCAATAAATCTTGAAAACAAATGTTGGACAATTTAAGCTTATAATCCCAGAACTGGGGAGGCCGAGCCAGCCAGATCCCTTGAGTGTGCTGTTTAGTCAGCCTAGCCTAGTTCATGAGAATTGGTCATTGACAGAGTCTGTCTCAAGAAGAAAAAAAAGGTGGATAGCCCCTGAAAAATGATACTAGAAGTTGTCCTGTGACTTCCACATGCACTCACACACAGCTACATGCACACTCACCCTCCCCACAATCACCTGCACACCCACATGTACATATACACACAAAATTAGACAGAAAATTCTGTTAAAGCAAAAAGAATAAAACCAAATCTACATATCTATTTCAACTATCAATTTAAACATTAAAAAGAGTCTAGCTTTATTCATCATTGCCAAAACTTAGTGGCAAGTTTTCCCTCAGAAGATGAAGGCATAAATAGATGAATCTAGACAATGGAATATTATTCAGTGCTGGAAACAAATTACTAAGTGAAAAGGCCAATTTAAAATGGTTATGTATTGCAAGACTCCACTCTAGAAAAGGCAGAAATGGGAAAACAGTGGGGAAAAGAAAAAAATCAATGATTCCCCAGAAATGCTAGAGGTGGGGAATGAATAGGGAGAACACCAAAGTTTCATAGGGAAGTGAAAACACTCTAGGATTCTATGTAGATAGATGGCATTACGAATTTGTTTGAACCCACCGACTATACATCAAGAATAATCCTAATAGAAGTCTGAACTTCCTGTGACTCCGAATCTATGTAAGCTCACCAACTGCAACAAATGTGTCACACAGGTAAGGGATGCCAGTGATGCAAGAAGCAATGTATGTATGGAAGTAAGGGGCATCTTGGCAATCACTGTCTTCTCCACAATTTTGCTGTAAATATAAAATTACTCCAAATAGTAGCCTTAATCCTAGGGCTGGAGATTTAATTCAGTGACAGTGTCTACCTTGATGCTTAGCAATGTTGATAGTACTTTTTTTTTAATCTAAAGAAAATGTTTCTTAATTCTGTTTCTATGAGTAACTCACTGTTCTCGCCTTTCTGAATACCAAAGGTATGAGTCATATAAAGATATTCACTATTCGAATCTATGTGAGTCAACTCTAATGTATCAGTGATTTATTGTAAATTCCTGTAAGTTCTCTGGAACAATTAACAGATGTGCTGATGTTCACCTTTAGCTCTCTAGTATGTCGATCAACAAGCTGTTGAACATTGAGATTAGCCTCTTTCTGAGAAGTTACAGAAATAATACGTTCTTCAGCTGCTGCTGTCATTTCTTCTCGGAGTTCCAACAGTGCTCGACTAAGTGCCTAGAAATTATAACATACAGAAAGCTTTTGATGAAAACTGACATTTTATAAGGGAAAAATAAAATATAAAAAGCAAGCATTATTACTTTCTACTATTTTCCTAAAATTTCATGTGTTTAATCAATATAAATCATAAACAACTGAAAATTTTCGGATGTTTAGTAATTATACTCATTCTTCACAAATTGAGTCAAAGTTCAAAATCATTTTTTTCTTTTTTTAATTGAATTTTTATAATTCATTTTTTAAATTTGTTGAATTGTGTGTGTGTGTGTGTATCACACAGAACATCTCAAAACATCTTATTCAACTATACACCCACTTCCCAGAGAGCACCCTCCCATAGCCTCCCTCCCCCAAGTAGAACCCTTATACTCTGTTATCCCTGCTACTGTCACTGTGATGTCAGCACCCCAGCCAATCCCCACTACTTGTCCATCTGGTGAATCTAGTCAGCCTATGTAGAGGTCTTTGTTTTAGGAAGATCGGCTGTTCTTCATCTAGCAGCAATCAGTTGTCAATATTCCTTTAGATAAGATTGAGGTCTGCTGTTCATTTTCCCAGTAATATCCTGGATTACTGTCTGGGAGTCCCTTGAGCCACCCTGGACAACAACTCAAAAGAAGGTATCTCCTATCTGGCATGGATCTAACAGATATCTACCGAGCATTCCACCCAAGCACCAAAGGACATACTTTCTATTCAGCGCCCCATGGAACCTTCTCCAAAATCGACCATATACTGCGGCACAAAACAAACCTAAGAAACAAAATAGGCCTCAACAAATACAAAAAGATTGAAATATTTCCATGCATTCTATTATACCACAATGCAATAAAGCTTAAAATCAACACCGGAAGAAGTCCTAGTCACCACATGAACACATGGATACATGAACACATACTCCTGAATGATGAATGGGTCAAAAGAGAAATTAAGAAAGAAATAAAAGTATTACTGGAACTAAATGAAAAGAATTTTTGTGGATTTTATACAATACATCTTGATCATATTTAAATCCCCTTCCCTATCTGTACCCCCCAGAGTCTGCCCACAGAACTTCATGCATTTTGTCATATATGTTAGTGCCTACCAAGTCAAGTTTGTGTGCCTTGTCCCTTGGTGTGAGTTCATTCATTGGAATCTGTTCAGCCTATCTAGAGTCATTCCCTTAAAGAAAATCAACTCTCCCTCACCCAGCAGTGATCAGCTTCCAATAGTTCCTCACCAGAGTTGTGGCCTCCTGTCCCCACTTATATGCTTGTTTTTGTCTGATGGAGTTTGAATGGGTCTTGTGCATGCTGTCACTATTGCTATAAGTTTGTATGAGCAAGGTCCCAGGAGTCTGTAAGACCTGTTTCCTTATGGTACCATGCACCTCCTCCATGGCTCTTACAATCTTTCTGCCCCTCTTCTGCAATGGTCCCTGAGCCCAGGGTGGGTGAAGTGTAATATGAGTCCTATCCAGGGATCCACACTCTGCAGTGTCTTATTCTCTACACTTTGGCAGTTATGGCCTTTTGTGTTCATTGCCCTCTGTTGCAGCTGGAGGCTTCACTGATGAGAGTTGAAAGATGCGTTAGAATTCTCTCCACCCCTTGTTCACTACGTTCCATGGGGCTTAGATATAGAGGTTCCTAGCGCTGAACATCTCACAGACACTCTGTGTGTGTGTGACCAGTTTGGAACTCTATGATAGTCTCTGTCTGTTGCAAAAGAAGCTTCTTTGATGAGTGGTGACTGGCACACTTGTCCCTGAGGCCAAGTCAGGCACTCTCATGCAATCTCAAAGGGACAGGTACACAAGGAGAGATGATATGTGCAGGTCCCTCCTAATCAGCAGGGAAGCCTGAGGCCTGGAGCAGATGGTCCCAAAGCATGGGGATGCACGTGGTATGATTTTCAGAGTTCAAAATTTTGACCTTGAATTATGTCAAGGAATTTACATTATAAAAACTAAGTATATTCTATTTTTAAATTTCCAAGTTTAGGTATTAGAAATACATTATTCACTTAATAAATCCTTCCATGTGAAAATTATTAAATTAGGCAGTAGACAAGTAAGGTTACATCAAACGGTTAAAATATTTGCCCATAAATTTTACGTTAAGATGGGAAAATATAGCATCATCTAAATCATTTAAGTATGTCAAATCTGAGATTAAAAGAGGGGGAAAAACCTATTATGCCACACTAAATCTACTGACCAACCCACAAAATTACTGTGACCCTCTTCTTTAATTTTTCTCTCTCTTTACCATCATATCTCCCTGTTAATCCCCTAAACTGTTCAAAATTGTGTCAGTATCTTAAAATTATAATGGGAAATGTGAAAATAAACATTGCTAAGATTTTCATTTCTGTTGGGCATGATAGCACACACTTTTAATCAGAGTTCTCGGGAGGAGGCAGAGGAAGGCAAGGCTCTGTGAGATCAAGGCCTGCCTGGTCTACATAGGGAATTCCTGGCCAGCTGGGCTACAAGGAGACCGTCTCAAAATTACAAGAAACACACGCACACACCACCACTACCACCACCACCACCAACAACAACAACAACAACAAAATATTTCCTTTCCTTTCATATACTCTATAAATCATATATAAAGATAAATTGAGTTATATCTGCATTTAAAAATAGTACTTACTAAGCCCTCTAAGAATTATGAAAAAAAAACTATTCCTTTTAACAGCATGAGATAAATCTCATTCTTTTTATTATAATAGAGCTATGCTACTATCTCTAACAAATCTACAAATTTTCAGCACTTTTTCTAAACATTGGCAGTTATCTACTACTCACCTTTTGTTGCTTCTCTTTCAGTGCTAACTGGCTCTTCAACCGGTCTACCAGATTTCTTATTGTAGTTGTTGGAGCTCTCGAATTTGCCTCTTTCTGAGCCTGAAGTTCAGACTTTAAACTCTGGGACTCCCTTTGTGCTTGAGCCAGGAGACACCTTAAATCCTCCACTTCTGCTTTCACTTTTTTTACTTCATCTGCATGACTTTCTTGGAGCCTTTTATAAATAAGCATATGTTATTTAACACACTGGATGCTACAATTAATACCTTGATTTGAAAAAAAAAAACTTTATACAAAGCAGTTACCAACAATTATTTTATGTAGTAAAAGAACTATATATGCAAGTTAGCTCAAAAGACAATTATTTTCCACACATAAGAATTAGAACCAAAAACTTATGTAATTTTAAGTAGGGTGTGGTGGGTCATGTTAAAGCTGGAAGATGACTTTGAGTTTGAGGACAGCTCATATTAGTCATTTCTAGGCCAGCCTGGGCTACAGAGAGAGACTTTTCTAAAAAAAAAAAAAAAACAAACGAATGAAGAAAGAAAGAAAACAATTATAAACAGCACCATTTAATAATATAAAACATGACATAAGATTACTATACAAAAAATGAATTGTCCTATATAATTAAAAGAATGAGAGAAACATAAAACCATACCATATGCTATAGCTAATTCTCTTCAAGAAAAAAAAATGGCAAGTATCTGTGAATACTTACATAGTCACAGATATGTAATAAATTTGTCAGAGGTATCTTGGGCCTGTGAGTAAACTTTCATGGGTCTACTAGAGCATCAGAAGCAGAATAGAATTGTAAGTAAGGCAACATTCTTATTTTCTTCAGATCCAAACTATGACCCAGAAAGAGTTCTACACTGACTGGAAACTGAATAACCACAAACTTATTTTAGGTTTAAAATCTATGTTGTAGAGGATAGAGAGATGGCTTAGCAATTAAGACCACTGGCTGCTCTTGCAGAGGACCCAGGTTCAGTTACCAGCACCCACATGGCAGCTAACAACTGTTCATAATGCCAGTTCCAGGGGATCCAACATCCTCTTCTGACCTCTGCAGGTATCGCACATCTATACTTATAGGCAATATACTCATACACATAAAAATAAGTAAAAAAAAAAATCCATTTTCTAAAGAGTTGGCTGAATAATGGTTACAATCGCTAATATATAGAATGATTTGAACATCTGTCATTGTAGTTTCTAAAAAGCAAATGACTTTTCTTATTTAGCAAACATTTGCTGAACCTCTATCTGGTACCACATAATCTCAGGTGTGTGAACAAAAAGTCTTTATTTCTACATGATTTTACAATTTTCAGTTTACTTTTGTAGATATCCACTCTGAAGAAACCCAAGAAAATACTGCCAATTTCAATTATAGTAGGAAGTGGTTAAAAAGAAGATTCTAGAGAAGAAAATAAATTTTCTTTTCAGTCAGACTGACTAGATTCAAACTGATTTTCCCACTTCCACCCAGTCATGCTTCTGAGCTTTCCTAAGGTCTTGTTTCTATTATACAGCGTGTCCGATGCATTCCTGAGGATAAAATGAGGTAATACACATAAGGGTCTTAGGAAGTGGCTGACACAGCAAATACACTTATCTTCATTATTACAGCAAAATACCATCTACTTATTTTAAAAATACATTTCTAAGACTTACCGTAATTTGATATTTTCAAATTCTTTGACTTTTAACTCAGTGATTTCTTTTTGTCTCTCTAAATCTTTTGATACTTTCTTGAGTTTGATCAAAAGTGAGGACAGAGAGTCATCTTGTTCTGCCACTGTCTGTTCCATCTCAGCCAGACGAATAAAATGTTTGTTGGTAGGTACTGGGACAGGAGATTGTTTTATTAAATCCTATGAAATATGAATGTATTAGCCATGGGCAAATAGAACTGATGCCATTACTTACTCCATAATTTTAATTTGGCTTCTCAAATGACTGGAAAAAAAAGGATTAAAGAAGGTAGGATCTAGAGACAGAGCTCGTGCCACTTCCAGTGCTTAGTATCTAGATGCAGTGGAGGATTATGTTAATAAGGTAAGGCTCAAAGATCCTAATGTTGCATGTTAAGAGAAGAAAGGTCATTTCACATATATAGAAAAGAATGATCAAAAGAGGTAAGTATGAGGTTAATTTAGATGGAAAACAGATATAGATAAATTCATAATGAATAGAATTTGAAAAGATTAGAGTCAGATCATAGGAGGCTTTTTTTTCCTTTCCATGACAAAGGAATATGAACATGAGTTTTGAGAGTAATGAGAAATTACAGAAGGATTTGGATTTAAGAAAAAGAACAATGAAAGCTGGTTTTTACAAGATTACTTTGGCAACAAAAAGGTAAGGTGAATTCTGTGAGACATGAAGAGAGGTAAAATTTAAAATACATAGTATCAAAAAATCAATAAATAACAGAACAAAGCTCTCAGAATCTTACCTGAGCTGTCTGTTTGAATTTATTGAGCGAACTATCAGCCTGTAGTTCTAATTTATGATGAAGAACATGAAGGTCTTCTTCATGTTTCTTAACAATTTCTCTTTGCTCCTATTGTATAGAAAATTGAATATTATGGTTAAAAATGATTCACTTGTAAAGATCCTAAATTATCTTTAATCTTCTAAAACCTCAACATAGGAAAGGCATAATCCCTGCACATGTATGTATTTAGACCATTTTACATTTCTGTATGCATGTAAGAAAAAACTCATGTTTATTCTTAATATTAGAATAACATGCATCCATCACCTTTAACTTGCTTCTACAAATATTTTTAAATGATAGCACTCCCACAGTTCAGGCAAATTAAAATTCCACTGATTATCACTATATCAGCTTTCATTTTTAACTTATTGCTTCTATCCTTTCTCATAAACTCAGATGATATTTTCTAAATCATGCAGATTCACCGTAACAGACAATCCTGGTTTGGTTAGTCCACAAGAGAAAGATACACACACATAAATCGCCAGTTTTACTGAGCAATCAGTATTCTAATACTGTGAAAGCAAGAGTTCCTAAATAGAGTTATCTGCAAGAATAAATGAACGACCAGCGTAGAACAAAATATTTGGCATCTGACCGATAAACATGGTAAATGAAATCGTATGACAAAATATGATAACAAACCTCTCTCGCTTTTTCTAGAAGATGCTGGTATTTCTTCAAAATGTCTTCCTTTTGATTTAACCTTGCTTGCATGTCTGAGATAGTCTGATGGGCAATTTTCATCATATGTTGAGATTTGGTATCCATTTCATTTCTGCCTAGCTCAGCTATAAGTTTTTCTCGTTCTGCAGTGGCAGGTAATCGAAGCCGCAGTTCATTGATTACTTTGTCTCTTGACAGAATATTTTGCTCTGCCAACCGTAAAGCAGATTCTTTTTCTTTTAGCTTCTATGGTAAAAGTACAATAAATTATATATTCCTTTAACATGTTTCATATGAAGTTGAGTTAGACTACTAATAAGCAGAAAAGCAGTTTCTCTTTTCTTCACACATTTATAATAGCCATCTGACAATACTACATTGATTATATTTTTATGTGACAACACAGTTATTTATTTGCATGTCTCATTTACGTCTAAGAATATCACATGTTAAAAACTTCACCGTTAGGTTGAAAATGAAATTTAATTAATTAATTTTATTTAGATCTTGAAGTCTGGAACTACAACTGAGTGGTGGTACTACATTTAGAAAGAAAACGTAATAAATTATTCCTTTTATTTCAGACCACTAGCACTAAGACTAATCTCCATAGAAATTAGCCAAGAAAAGAGCTAGGATTTCAGTGGCCAAGGTCTATGAATCATTGTTTTATAATATGTAGTTTATAATACCAAAGTAGAAAAAAGTTATTGGTTTTTACTTGGTTTAAGACAGATAATTTACAACTAGTAAATCTGTAACAATTTACACAAGCCAAAAATCTTACACTTAAGTGTCCTGAATTGATTTAAAGGGCATAATTTTATACAAGAAATTATTTTAAAATGTATTTAGAATTTTTTTTTTTTTTTTGGTCTTTTTGAGACAGGGTGTCTCTGTAGCCCCAGCTGTCCTGGAACTCACTCTGTAGACCAGGCTGGTCTTGAACTCACAGAGGTCCACCCGCCTCTGCCTCCCAAGTGCTGGGATTAAAGGTGTGCACCACCACGCCCAGCATGGGAAACTAAAATAAAAATAATATTCATCTTACATTATTTTATGAATACTTTAAATAAACTGATTTGACTACCTGTTAATCAAATTTGTTATTTAAGTAACTTCCAGTTTATTTTCACATATAACCAGTCATAAAGGATATAAAAACCAATTCACAGGGTATAGAATATACTTTGTAAAACAAATGATAAAAAGAAAGGAGAATGAGAGCAGCATATAAGGGATGGTAATAGATTGTTCATCAAGCTATAATTAAATGCCTTTTGCCTGCTTAGGCCCCAGAGTAACATAGTCAATGCATGGTGAATTCAAAGTAGCTATATTGGTTGTTCATTTTCAGCTACTAGAAATAGTATAGAATAGAAAAGGGGAGAGCGTAGCAACAGATTCATCATTTTATACTTTATTACCATTAGTAAATATTATTTAGAAAATTCCAGAAACACACCCAATAATACACAAATGAAAATGCAAATTCTGCTAATTACCTCTTGTAGTGATTTGCAAGTTGTTTGTGTTTTTAGAATTGTTCGAACATTCTCCTTAATTTTTCTTAGAGCAATCTCAAGTTGATTTGGAAGGGGCAAACTGGGATCTGGCACTGATCCTGTAGCCTCTTCAAACTATTAAGAAATAAGATGTTTTAAGAAGAGCAATGTAGTTCTGAAAAAACAATATTGTTTTCAAATGTATGACAAAACATAGATTAAACTTCACTTATATTTAAGCCCAGGAACTTAGTGGCAATTCACATAAATCAGATACCTTACAGCTAAAAATATATCTGATTCAGACACTTTTCTGTCTCTTAAAGTTAGGCCATGCTACTGTGTAGCAAAAAGATTAGCCATTTATACCTTTTGAGCTGCACTTAGTATTTCATTTTGCTGATGGTCAAACATGTCTAGCTGACGTTCCAGTTCAACTTCTCTTTGATCCCAAGCCATTTGTCTTTCTTCATGAAACTGAAAAAAGGCAATTTCTGTTAGGCACATACAGAGTGAAACTGAGCATATTAGCAGCATAGATATTTCCTTGCTTAATCTTCATAGTAACTCTTTGGCCTCCCTACTATCATTCTCATTTTATGGAAAAAAAACACTTGCTTAAGATCACAGAAGTAGCAGGGTAGGAAGTCAGAATTTCAATACCATCATATATCCATTCTTCCATCCAAACATATCTAATGACATACCTTTGTCAAGCACTATTCAGGGCACTGCAAGCACAGCAATAAACAAAAACTAAGCCCTTGTCACCTAGGAACTTACATTCCAGGAAAGGAGAAACAAGCAATAGCAAACAAATGTATAAGATGTCAGAGGATAACAAACAGTATTTCGAAAATGAAAATAAGAAATCCCTGTGTAGGGTCTCTTGACGGTAGGACTGAATTACTATTCAATATTACCTGTGAGGGTTCATAGTTAATAAAGACATGTGCATGAAGATCTTAAAGCAGTGAAAGTATAAACATAAGTACCCAGAATGCAAAAAAGTCAAAGCAGACAGAACAAAATCTCAGGAAGCATAGTTTTTAGGAATATCATCTGGCTCCAAACATCAAATTTTTCTAGTCCAGCCTGTGTTCTAAACCATTAGTGACACTGAACAGAAACTTGATTGCAGAAATAAATAAGCAATACCAAAATAACTAAGTAAATTTGTACTTTCAGAGTTTAAACACAGGAAAGATTATTTAGTTATGCATTAATAACAGCATTATGCAATTACAGTAATAGTCAAGCATGCAATGCTCCCATATTTAAAATCTTAACCTAAAGCACAGAAATAAACAGAAGATGAAACCTTGTTCTGCTGAACAATTTCTTCTTCCAGACTGCTGATTGTATGCTCATACTCAGATATGATATTATTCAAATATTTGATTTCTTCTTTATCCTTGACTAGCTCTCTATTTAGTTTAAGTTCTTGAAGACGGAGTTCTTCTATCTTCGTATGCCAATTGATTACCTAAGATTTGTAAATTATATGTAGGTATAAATGCTATGTAACTGATCATTTTATTTTAATTAAAACCGACAAACTATAATACAACAGGATACAAAATATTACCCCTTAGCCAAGACATATGTCAAAGTTATTTAGGATTTCTAGACTTTCCTAAAATTATAACAAATATTACAATAAAATATTCTTCAAAACACATTCAAATGGATAAAGTTATTATATTTGCTTTCAGTTTTTCATTTACTATCATTTATTGAGTACTTACTGTAACCATGGTACCAAAACATTGATACTACTTTCAAAAACAGAAATTCTACCTGAGTCTTTTGTAATGTAGCCACCAGTTAGTTATGCAGGCTCCAGTGGATAAACTCATATCCATACACATTCAAGTAGCCAGTTGGTCACAAAGTGAAAACAAAAACAAAACAAAAAAGATACAAAAGTGGGACAGGGACTTGGTGGGAAGAAGTGAGTGGGGGGCTTGTGGTGAGGAAGGAAGACACAAACATGGAAAGATAAGTATGAACAGAATCTATTACACACATGTATGATACTGTCACAGAATAAATTATTAAAAAAATTTTTCCCAGAAATGAAATTTTAAAAAAAAAGAAATTCTAAATATGTCTAGCATAGAAAATAAAATTTTGCTGCAAGATAATTATTTTCCATTTAATTCTTCCTAAATGAGGGTATAAATTAATCACTAAAAAATAAATGTGGGACTCTATAAAATGTGTAACTGTACACAACAAATAT